TGGAAATAGAGAACTGAGGTTCCAAGAAGCAAGTGAGGCAGTCCAAAAAGTCCAACAGTTGAACAGGTGAGTCCAACTTGTAAGCTGATTCCAGGAGGCCGACACTGGCAAGGAGGTTGGGTAAGGTCTGAGAACAAGGGGAATAAAGACAAGGTTCCAAAAAAAAAAAACACACTTAGAAGTTCTAGTGAAATGATACTTGCTGTTAAACATTAAAGCAAGGTGGCCAGGAGATGTACCCAGAAGGCATGATGCTCCAGCGAAGACCAAGTCTCAGAATGAGCCTTTTAAACCCAGTGAGCCTCATCAGGAGAGTGGAAACAGCTGTGGGAAGTGGAGAGCCTTGAAACCAATTAAGCAGAGCAGGGCAGGTGCAAGCAGAATCATCACACTTTGTGATGTTATATTTAAATAATATTAAGTATTTTGTTTGTTAGCTATTTAAGTTATTAACAAAYCAAGCTTTAATGCAGTGTGTTCTTTTTTTGAGTTCTGATGGATCTTTAAATAGGCTTTTAGACTTTAATCATAGTTTTTAAATAAAATGTTGAAAAATAATTATTGTTATGACTTGGATGATATTTTAATTTAAATAACACAAAACTCTGATTGTATGACATCAGAACTGACATCAAAATGAAATACTATCCAAAGATATTTTTAAGTTGTATCTAATTAAATTCAGTTGGACGAATAAAATCAATCTCCAGGGTTTTTAAAAGGACGAGKGGTTCTCCCTTACTACAAATATGCTTTTCTTTCAATAATTAGTATTTACAACAGCTTTAAAARCAGTGTGTGGGTTTGCTGTGCTAAATGTCAAGATTTTGATTTCTGCTTTCTTGTAAACAAATTAAAGCATCCACATTGGATGTGACCTTAATTTCAGAGTTGTAACATGTAGCCAATTTTTTTCTTTTTCTTTTTCTTTTTTTGTAAGCATCAGTGAAGTGGTTCTTTGCAGAAACTAGCCTTCAACATTTCATGATTGGAGGTGCATATTTTCCTCAACCTTATATAACTTTTTTAAAACTAAGACCAGGAGATAAGAGGGAGTTATTTTTCTATGTTGGGCAAACATTTTAAATGACTTTAAGTGCAGTTTCTAGCAATATTGTGAGATTTCATAAGATGTATGAGAATATGCTGAGGATGACTCTCAGCTGCTGTTATTACAGTATATCAAACTTTTTTGGTGAAATGCAGTTAGTTGTGGCAACCATTTTGAATAACCCTATATGTTCAAGAGCTGTAGATAAACTACCTAYGATAAGTGACTGACAATTTCATTAAAATCTATACAGTGGCCCATGACATATTTTATAAAAAGACAGATCATTTTATTCCTAACAGATAATGGTGTTTATGCAAAGGTAGTGTATAACCTAGCCTATTCCTTTTGGAGTTTGTGTTGTGATTGACTCTTAACTACTGACACTCCGATTTTTAGCCCAGTTTATTTTAACTGACTAAATTGACTAATCAACTTTATTCAACACAAAACAGTAATAACTTAGTCGTGACATTACATTTAGTAATAAATTTGAACATTTTTTTAAACATAAAACTGACAAAATATCGCCAAAAATCTTTCACGCCACTAAGATGAACAGTGGTTGAGATTTTCACTTGTGAAGTAACAGGAAGTGATGTCAAAGGGGAACCTCTGAATGTGAACAGGGCATTGCTAAATGGCTGATAACACAGACTGCAGAAAATAATCTGATGTTTATTTTGATTATTTTTGAGTCACTATCAGAGAGAAGTGAAGAAGAGTTTGAGTTCAAATAAAGACCAGGAAGTTTTTTCTTTCCTTAAATAGATCTCCTTTTGATGTCACTTCATGTTTCATTWTAGCTGAGCCAAGTTCAAAAGACAACGTGCTAGTTATGTGACTAAAGGTGTGAAATCATGTGCATTATGCCAAGTTTCTTAAATATAAAGATCTTTTCTTTGACTTGGCTTTGTATTTGAAGGATACAATGAGTCAACCTCAATGCATATTTCAAGCACTAACACCTCTTGGAGGATTTTGATATTTTTCCTGTAACTCTGTTACTTCTCATCCTGAGATGATCTAACTCTGAAWGGCTGTGAAAAATGTGYATTCCTTCAAGGGATGCTAGGCCATAAATTTGCCTCAGTTTTCAAACTATATTTACTATGAAGTTCAGATATTTTTTATGGACAGAAGCAAATCATATAAAAAAATTGCCAGTATCAGTTAAGCAGAAATTTTAGCAGACTGAGCAAACACACACGCAGCTGTGAGGCAACAGTTCAGCAATGCAACATCAGGCTGSGTGTGAAGCCTTCGTAAAGACCTCCTTCCATATCAGACGGTGTCAAAGCTGCTGATTAAAACATCTATTAAACTGCACTGCAGCACAGAGACACGGAGGGGGAGAGGTGGTTGCAAAGTGAGTAAATAATCAGTCCCCCCCCCCCCTCAAATCACACAGCACATATAGAAATACTCTAATGAGAAAGTGATGCCTGCTGGTAAGAAAAGGGCAGCAGAGAAAATTCACCTTGTTCGCTATYGATTGTGTGGGGTAGATCATTTAAACAATTCAATTACAGCGAAAAGCCTTTGTAGCGCTGAATTGATCTCCTTTTCTTCTGCTGTTCGTCTGGTTTACATCTTCAGTACATGTGCTTTGGAGTGAAGTGTGGGCTCCTGTCGTGCGTTGCGTTTGCTAAACTGCCTAGGCCGGAAATCATGTCTTACAAAAACCCTCGATACCTGACAGACACTATTTGTATGCTCGGGCTTCCACCTGCTCAACCTGGAAGGTCGTAACTGGATGTTGTTGGCCCATTTCCAGTCCCTGACGCATTGTGACTGCCTTCTAGGCATTAAACTCTAAAGAGCTTTGCTGGAATGCACTAGGAATATTCTATTTGGATGTGCCACTTTGTGATTCATTTTGAGAAGCCTTGCTGAATTGAAAAGAATTTAGACTGACTGAGGTTCCTTAAATAAGAGGAAACAATCTCCCACAGAAATGTTTGTCATTCTGCCTCATAGCCCTAAAAGTGTTGTGGCGTTCCAGAGTGCCATTAGACTAGGGGGACCATTCGAGGGGTTTTGACAAAAACTGGTGAGTCGTGATATTCGATCTGCTTTTGGACAATGCAAAGCAGTCGCCCAACAGCGAACAGAGGCCTGCCCATTCGTCTTTTGCAGTCCTTCCATGTGACACTCTCCTCCCTTCTTTTGCCTCTATTTGCTCCCTTATTAGAGAGTGTGAAGTGGTGTTTGAATTTAGTTCCTGGGCCTCTTCCTCAGCAGCCAGCAGTAGCTCGATGAGCAGCAGGAAAAGAAATATGGACCCACGGAACAATATTTCACTGGCACCGGCTTGACATTGATGGATAGAGAATCATTAGACATTTGCCAGTTTGCTTGGGCGTAGAGTTATTTTCAGCAGTAATGTATGGGAGCGGGAGCAGAGGCTGGAGGAGGGCTTCTGGTACAATCTCAGAGGCCCATGGATTCTACTTTGGTGGAGTTGTGAACAAATTTGGAAGTAAATTGTGGGTGACGGAAAACACATAAGGGGACATGACAGAATATTTGAACAAAGACCTAGCTTTGTGCATTCAGTTTATATACATATATACAGATATTCAACATTGTATACTATTGGTTTTCAATGACTTTCAGATCTACTTCAACCACCGTTTTTTTCCAGCTAATTCACAAATAAAAGCAAATCTTCAATCAGCATATTTGCTCTATTATTTAAAATTTGAAGTGAGGTTAAAATAGGATTACACTTGTTCTCTCTGCATTTTCAGCTTCCGCTATTTTGAAAAATGACCATTTTAGGTTGTGCACAAAATTTTCCTGCCCTTCTCCGCCCACATTAATCCCACATCGGCTCGTTTTGTGTCCACATTAGCAGCCAGCCTCCACATTAATGATTTGTTCTATTTGTGTACACTACTGAAGTGAACATAGGACAATTTGGAGCAGTTTTTTTTAATATTTATTTATTTTTTATCATCTGTGTTGTTTTTAGACTTTGACTTTAATAAACCTATGATAAACAGCTCTTAAAGTGTCTGTGACCTGCATTTCCTGCAATACACAARTGGTAGAAAACATCTTAAAATTAACATTTACGTAGGAATAGTGCCTTAAGCATATCTACTTAAAATACTACCCAATAAAGGAATAATCTACCAAACACAAATTTCCTCATTTTTTTGTGCTAAGTATATCTGCAGCATATACCATATGAATTATTTATTATATATACTTAATAATAATAATAATAATAATAATAATAATAATAATAATAATAATAATAATAATAATAATAATAATAATAATAATAATAATAATATATTTTTGAAGGCACCTTTCATGGCACTAAATGACACCATACAATTAAAATACAATACAATAAAACAAAACAGAAAAATAACAGAGAATGAAAATACCAATAAAACATCATATATACCAATTAACAAAAAAAAACATTGTACATACAGTAACAATAAAACATCCTACATAATATAGGGTTTAAGATGGCAGTTATACTGAATATGCTTGTTTGAAGACAATGGTTTTAATCCGTGATTTAAAAATGGAGGGTGTTTGATGTCCTGTGGTAGAGCGTTCCAGAGGTGGGGTCCTGACGGACTAAAGGCTCTTGAACCCATGTGGTCTGAAGAACTAATTGAGCATATTCTTCAAATGGGAATTTTGCCCTAGTTGTTAAAAAATTGTAGCAGTAGAAAAAATAACTACTACCATAATTTTGTCTAATTCTAAATTACGAGGATTTGTTCGGTCCTTGTAAAGCTGAAGCTATCTTCTGTTTATGGTTACTACTGTATGTTGTGGTTTTACCTATTTTTCGACTTGGACCTCTTTTTTTAAAAAAAGCTTGCTTCAAGTATAAATGAGTCCATTACTGTGTTTTCAGCTCTTCCTGCCTCCTGTCAGCTAATGGCACACACTCATCAATCTCTCTCTTTCTCTGCAGTGATGGTTCTGCTAATTGTGACGATGCGCCGGAGAAGGAAGCAGCCCCTCATCCTCGAGGAGGAGCGGGACATCAGAGAGAACATCGTTCGTTACGACGACGAGGGCGGGGGAGAGGAGGACACGGAGGCTTTCGACATGGTCACCTTACGGAACCTCAACATCGTCCGAGACCCCAGCGTGCGGCGAGACGTCACGCCAGACACCCCCACCTACTTCCATTACACCGCAGCTTCTCGCCCGCCTTACAAGTCCCTGCCTGATAACGTGGTGTTTCGGGAGTTTATTTGGGAGCGACTGAAGGACGCCGACGTGGACCCGACGGCTCCCCCGTACGACTCTCTGCAGACGTACGCTTTTGAAGGCAGCGGCTCTGTGGCCGAGTCGCTAAGTTCGCTGGAGTCATTAAGTACAGACTCGGATCAGAACTACGACTACCTCAGCAACTGGGGTCCACGCTTTAAAAAGCTGGCAGACCTGTACGGCAACAGTGACAGCGGCAGCGTATTCTCATAGCCCCTAAATGTTTCCTCCTAACAATCCTTGAACTTAAAAATACCCGAGTAATATATTGTCAGAGAAAATGATTTTGTCTGCCTTAGTGCATGGGAGGGGAAAAAAGATTCAAAGACAACACAAGAGATTGAACGGAAAAAAAAACTCTTTGACTTCAAAGATTTTTGGTTTGTTTACCTCCCTGTATGGATTTTCAAACGCGTGCCATGGCGAGTTTTGACACAGACTTCAAATGTGGCTCGACTGAGGAGGAAGCCTTGTGTGCAAGAGACATTAAAGGTTTCACATTTTAGGCCCGAGTCCAGCCGTTGACTGCAGAATGCATTACACGTTGAAGCTTTTTAATTTTTTTATTTTTTTTTTATGTAGAGGCACCTGTCCTTTCATTCCAGTGATGGGCACAGACCCAACACTTTTGCTTTGATGCATTCCTTTGCTATCTTTGTGCTAAAAAAAAAAAAAAACATAGAAGTTTCTCATGAAATGCTGTCTCTCTGGCAGCTGATCGGTAGTCACTTGGCTGCTTATMTGAAATATGAGAACAATTTATGTTTCGTTCTCTACCTTTTCGGAAAAAAAGGGTAACAGGCTGTATTTTCTAAACTTTTACATCCAGAGCCACATTACCCACAGACTCAATCATACCTCTGAACACTATGTGACATGAACACATAATACAATATAAGCAAGTAGTTGGTGTGCTAAGGAAGTGACGTGACAAAAAAAAAGACACTCTTTAGTTTGATGTATCTACAGGGTGAAACAAAAAATATATATAATTTCTCTTTTTCTCCTAACAACACATTTTGCAGATGTTGCAATGTAGTGCGTGTCCCAGTCTGTTTCTACTTCTGCCTTTCTATTGCCAMGTCCGATGTATCATTTCTCAGCTATAAACTGTCAGGATTTAGTTGTTCCGCTTTTGTACGAGGCCGGTGGCTCTGCGGACCTGTGCCGCATCTGAAAGCTGCGCCGACAGATCTGTCCTTATTGTGCTGCAGATGCACGCCACTTACACTTGAAAAAAAAAAGAAAAGAAAAAATGTTTAAATAAAAATAAAGAAGTATTTGTTTTGTAGGTGGCAGACATTACCAGGGTGAAGTTGCAGTTTGTAAGTATTTTATTTTATTTGATATTTTTTGCTTCTGTAGTTTGCAAAATCAAGCTTATATTGTAATTTAAAATTCAAATGAAAATACTGTATGGTTTGAATATTGATGGTAAAAGGACACTCTGTAAGATAATGATATTGTGGCAATTTTTCAACTGTTTGTTTCTCAGCTTCAATTGGGTTATGTTACACTTGGGTGTGCACATGTGCAGCCGATACATTTTATTATTTATTTCAAAGAGGCAGAACTGTGCAAATGATGTTTTTATCCTTTTGCTGAAAATAAAAATTGATATTCAGTTCCTTTAAAGGCTGAAGGGTTTTATTTTAGGTTAGATGAACATTACCAGAAAAAAAAGGATGTAAGAATAATGTCATCTCTAGCCACTAACTTCAACCAACTTGTAACATTTGCAATCAGTGACTGCACTTTTATTAATTTATTGTTCATTAAAACGACTCAGGAAGCTAAAGAAGAAAAGAGTGAAGAAGGCAGGCGAGATGTTTTATTTCTGATGAGGCTTCTGCATGAAAGATCTGATAAAGACAAAGCGTTTACACTCCACCGAGGCTCGTGTGATGACTGCAAGGCTCATTGTCGACCGTTTATGGAGTCTTTTGCAAATTAATAGTGGTGTGTAGAAAAAARAGGCTTCAGTATAGGTTCAAAAACTGAATTTCCTATAATGATTAAGCTCTAGCTCCTTAAAAATAATGACTAAAAAATTATGAGAAAGATTAAACCATTAGGTACACCACATTTGATCACATCTTTATATTCAACAGAGCTTCAGAGATAATATACTCCTTGGATTTGGTGTCTAGATATATATAAACCTATACTTACTGTATGATGGCTTGTCTACATTCATTGTACTCAAACTGCACATCCCTGAGTGGTGTGCAAATAATTTTAGACAAGATCCAAGTTAGCTCACATCTTAAGTAATGTAAAGCAGGCATGGATAAAGAAAAGTTGAAGCAGTGATTCATCTGTTTTTGAAAGGTTTTTGTGCACACTGTATGCACAGTAATGGTAAACTTGTAATTGTTAGTGTCTTAAAACAACTCTAATCTCAAAAATGTCATTGTAGATCAGGAAAATACTTGTGAATTTTTATATTACTGAGCAATTTCATATTAGATTTTATTACGTACTGCCAGGTCACTTCTGGCAGAAAAAAACAGCATAATCTGAATACAATGGCATTTATAGATTAGTGCTTGCATGAATAACTTTGTATTTTTATGATTAGTGTTTTTTTTTTCAATTGATGCAATTCACGATGGCTTTGTTCCCATACAAAAATGTTTCTAGCTCAAAAATCTAGTCAGAAGTTTTTTTTTTTTCTAAATTATTTATTCAGTATTACACGTTTAACTAATTAATGCATGGTTGTTAAACTCTGTGATTATTTTATTTTATTTTTTAATTTTTTGTACTTTTGTTTTTAGTGATTCCACTTCAGGGCAATACTGCCAGTCAAAAACTACTCATAGTAGTTTTATGCATCAGCATGGAGACACTGGTAGCCCACTCTTTCAGACAGAACAGCTTGAACTCTAGGTTGAGGTTTAGTTTTCTCATAATAATTGCTCCACTTTGGTCCCTCAGCAATATTTCTGTTGGAACAATTTCAAGACCCAACCACTTATGAACACTAGTGTTGTTTTTTTTAACAATCCTTTTGGATGAACACTCTTCATTTGCTCATGGAATCCGTGTTACTGAAAGTCATGCTCTTCTTTTGAAGTTCACACAGGTTGTTTTTTTTTTTATTGAACTTCACAATTCGTTGCTATTTCAATTCTGGTCAGTCATTTTTACCAAAATGCATTTACTTTCATTTCTATTTCCCCCCGCTGAATAAACAGTTTAAGGTATTTTCCATCCTGCTGAATACCAAAGATTGTTGGTCTTCTAAAATCCAACCAGAACATCAGCATACTAATTATTGCTAYTGTTTAACTGAAAAAAAAAAACTTACCTCTAATTTAAACTTTGTAATAAAAATGTGCATTGAAGCGGCTCACAGTTTTTCAACACACACATTTGGAAGGGTTGTTTCATGGTAAATGTGACACTTTTTAGTTGAGTGAATATATTGCAGAGATAGTTCATTTTTAAGTAGCAAAGTATCCTCTCACTATCCAAAGATAGACAGAATTTTTTWAATTAGTGTTACTCCACTGATATTAGAAACAGTGTTGATTTTAGAAAAAAAAAGTCCAAAATTTGCAGTCATACAGCAGAAGCTTCTAACTTCTTAGATGCCAGTTTCAGCTCTAAGAAGAACAAGGATTTCTATAACATATGGTGTGGCACTGATCTGCAGATCACACACTCCATGTGGGATTACACAAAGAGACAAACACAGATATGATCTAAATCCACAGAGGAATCATGGCTGTTGTTTTCAAGATGTTTGGAAAAAGTGCAAGTGAACCACCGAACACTATACAGCTGATCTTTTCTTTTTCTTTCTGTCCTTTGTTTTATTTGATTTGATTTATTGTCATGCAAAGTAATCAAAAGCTATTTGGGCATATGTTTTTGGTGCCTGAAAAAGCTTTGATCATTAGTTTACAGATGGATGGTGCCCAAAATAAACAACCACAATTTTTGCATTTCAATTGTATCCTTTTTTTATTTTTATTTTTTACTTTCAAGGCATTTGACAGCTTTTATTTTTTTCTTCATGGCTTGCACAATAAAGAGTTGTGTCAGAAAGAAAACAGCTTGCATCTCGTGCATTTTTGAGGTTCATGAATACAACAGACAGTATAATTTACCGTGATGCAAGAGATTGCAATAAACTCGTTTAGCATTTCTGCTTGGTAAATATTTGACTTATCACAGGTAATGACACGGTTTCTGAAGCTTTGAACCTTACAAAATAATAAAAAAGGCATATTTTTGTGAACACGTGTGATCTTCAGGGGCAGTTCACTCAAAACCGCAGAGTTTATTCACCCTGCTGCACACATGGGTTAATATACTTGAAATTATTATTTAAGATAAGTTAATGTTATTTTATATGTACTCGAAGTATGGAAATGATTACATTATTTTTATCTAGACATTTCAATAGTGGGTCACGATAGCTCAATGGTCATTGCAGTGGTACTGTAAGGCAGCAGGACTGAGCCTGGTTGTAATGGGAAGGGCATCTRGTGTTAAAAACTGCTAAATTTATTGTGCAAGCTGCTAAATATTTTTTATATGTAAAACAGATCTTAGATCGTTAATTATATTGTTATTTTGCCACAAAAATTTAGTTTTCTTGTAATAGGTTAAATCACGTTGCTTTAGCTTTGAAGATTTTTTTTTGTTTTGCAAATAATAAAAAAAAATCTGGACTTGCATGAACAACATGATATTTAAGTTTTCCCTGTTCTAAGAAAACAAAATTTACAAACATCAAGACTTTTCCAAAGCTCCCTAACTCAAAGTATGTGTTAAAGTTATTTTAGCGTGTTTTTTCATACTGTGGCTAATCTTAGTTGTTAGAGGACACAAAGCCCTCAAGGCTCAGTGACTTGTACCGGTGTAGCATGAAGCAACATTGTGCCACATGGATCATAGTATTGAATCAAAACTTCTATGAATAGGATAACTTACCCTTTAATGCAGTTGAGTGTACCTCTCCAACAGGCAGAGTTTTCATTTTATTTTCAGAGGCGCCACTGGAGGGAATTTTATTAAAGATTTTAGTAGTAGGTTGGATGTGGGAGATCACTCGTTTCCTTCACCGAGGCAGAAAGACAGCCGCTCGATCGCAGACCTTTGATGTAAACTTCAGCACTGAGAGCATCTGTGACCAAACGTTGATTCTGATTGACCAGCTGTCAGTCAAAATCAGCAGTAAGTGTCTTAAACRCCTGCTGCCTGGTGCACTTACAAGCAATCAGGGACATTCTGATATCAGGCGCTCGATCTGGACCTCTGCTGATTGCTTGTGTTGGCCCCGGCGCCTCGACTGTGGAGGGCCCCAGCCWGTCTCTGAACACTTCACTCAATTCTTATCATAACCGTGGATCATCAGCAAATTGCCCTGACAAAGAGGGAGCCGTTTTCAGAGACTCTCAGCAAGATGAGGAACACATTTCCCCTTAGATTGCCTCCTGGAACATCACTAATAGAGTTTGACCTCTTGGCTGTATGTTAAAGAAATCATTTGTTGCAGCTTTTATTTTTTTAACTCCACATGTAACACAGATATCTGAGTTTTTTTTTTCTTGCAGTTACTTTATTCTATAACATGGTCCCTGTTGCTAACAGCACAGTTTCTTTAATTGCATTTTTCTGCAGCTATAAACTTGGAGGAAGTAATTAAGATAGCAAATAATGGAATAAACACCACTAAACAGTCATACTTTTTTAGCAGGTTTTATGAAAAACATGAAATACTTTCCTCTTTAGTGCAGAAAAATCTATTGAAACATGGGCTTATCTTTGCGCTGAAGGGAAACTGGGTCTTTGCATATTTATGAATTTGGGTGAATATTCATTTCTGCGATTGCCCAGCATGAAACAAAACTCCAAAGAAAGTCTAACAGAGCGAAACTAAATAATCTGCAATCTGTCCATCCAGGTGTGCTGGTTTGTGGCTAAATATGTGGCTCCTGGTCCGCCATCAGCTGGATGACTCTTCACTGGTTCTTTGAAAAGAAGAAGAAGAAGAAGAAGAAAAAAGAGAGGATGAGAGAAAGATCAAAGGTTGTTGCAACACCATGTTTTATTCTCTGTCTTTCTCTGCAGCTCTCACAGTTTTTCCTGCCTTCAGCAAAAGAAATGTCAGACCTCAGGTTTGTGTACTCCAAAGTTTCACTAAAATTAGACCGGTCCCAGACCTGGGCAATATAAATAATTCTCTTGAGAGGCTTGGCGTGAGTGGGAGTGCAACAACTTGCTCTTCGAATGCCTGGGGAAGGAGGAAGGAGGGGAGAAAAGTAGGTCACAGTGGCAATATTATGGTAATATAGTGTAAAAAAAGGAGAATTGTAGGGGGTGTGGGGTGGTGTTGTATTATTCCAAATTATTGTGTAATGTGACTGTTACATTGAAATAGGTGTGTGAAACTGAAAAGTTCTGCAAAGTTTTGCAAAGGCAAGGGGAAAAGAATGTAAAAGACTAACAATCAAAGTTTTTTTTAAAAGGTCAAGCACAAAAACAGAATTGTAACAATCCAACACTTAGTCTTCACAATCCCATCTGGTCCTGTGTGAAATACTGAGCAGTCTTGCTGTGCAGATGGACACAAAATGTGCCGATTTCTTTTGACACCAAAGCTCTACCTTCAGAGTCAGAGATTTCACAAAGTTTTTATTTATTTATTTATTTATTTATTGTTTTTTTATGTCTGCAGCCCATTTGCTTCTCTTTCATAACAGAGTGGACTCATCATTTTGTCGAACCATTGTTGCCCACGCTTATCTGCCTTATTAATTTTGTTATTCAGATGAGAACTACATACCTATACATTTTTTCAGATTAATACATGATGGGTTTGTAAATATAAAATTGATTAATTAATATAAAAAAGTTGTCCCAATTTTCATGTTAAAGATATCATTTGACTGGATCAGTTAATGGTAAGACACCCATTTAGAAGGGCACCCCACAAAATACATCATTTTGTAGTTGTTGCTTGTTTATTTTCTTGTAGTAATAATAATGTAGAAGACTGTGAGGGTCTCTTACACTTCTCAAAACTTAAAAGTAATTAGGAATCACGGGTTCTTTTTCTAGAAAGACAAATACCTCTCTGTGGTAAAGTGAGAAATACTCACACACACACAATAATTTGCCGCTTCAGTAGTACAATTTCCTAAAATAAATGACATTTATTTACATAATAAAATAAACTATATATGTACAAATTAATGTTAATAATCAGGACTTTATGAGTTAAAATATCCACAATATCTCGTATGCGTCTGCTCTCAGAAAGAACAAGGACAGTAAACTTTAGGCTTAGGTCTTGATAAACCAAGTGTTTACAGGTACATTAAACGCATTTCAAGGTTTAAAGGAGACCATTTATGGGTCCTAGAAATGTTTATGGTATGTCTGTGGGCTATCCAGACCATGTTCATTCAATTTAATGCACAAAATAATTCTCAGATAATAAAATTTCCAATTTTCTAGTTCTGCCGGCTCTGACTTCCGTTCAGAAGAGCTGTTTATGTTAATGAGCTCTGTTGGTAACGCCCTCCAAAAATCTGTTGACATTAACTCCGCCCTCCAAAGCCAGCGTTTACGTTGGCATGGCTAATAATAGCAGAAGCTCCGTTGTASAACCATATGAGACCCAGAGGCAGAGTCGTGGTCGCAGCTTCTTCTTTTTTCTCTCCCTCCTCTGCTCTGCGCTCACTCTGCATGCTGTTACCAGAGCAGGGAGCAGCAGCGGTCAAAATACCTCAGAAATTCTAACAAATAGGCTTTAACAAGGCTTTAATAAGCTAAACAATAGAGGTACATTAGAAAATGTGTTCATAACGAATGACAATAAATAATTAAATTGTGTCAATGCCAGTCTCAAACCCTGGTCTCCCACTCTCTGGTCCAACACTCTACCCATTGCCCTATTGGAGGTTTGTTGTGAACTGAGCTGTGCATTACACAACAACAACTGTGACAGCTTTTTATACTGAGGAGGTGGAGCTTCACCCGGGGGTTGCTAGGTAAGGGGCTGAACGCAGATTCCGGTGGGTTGTCGTACGGCTTGTGACATCACAAAATGTAGGAAGTATAAAACTTGTCATTAATATACATTAAAAATACATTTACTGGTAAATATGCCCCTGGGCACTTTTTTTGGTCCTAGGACTGTTTTTTAAGAAGTACATACCCAAAGTTGAAGGAAAAAAATTGTATAGGTCCTCTGGACGGGTTCTTCTTTAATGAAACGTTTCGTCCAGGAAGTCCAACATTTCACTGATCACATCAACTCGGTGGATGAATATATTAAGTTCACACGAGAGGATGTAAAA